ACGCCGCCCGGAGCCGCGCGCCGGTGTCGCCGGCAAAAGGGCCACGAGCCGGGCCGCGGCCCCACGCCACTGTCACGACCGGGAGTGGGGGTGGGACTGGGGTGCCTCCCGCAAGCCCCGAGCCCAGCTGCAGAGGAAGCCCCGGAAGTCTGCGGGGACAGCTGGGGCGCGGGCAGCGGACTCCTGCGGGGCGCCCTGTGTCAGGGCACCCCGATATGCGAGGAGAAGGCACAGCTGTGCCCGCCGGCAGAGGGTGCCGAGCACAGCCGCGAAGAAGGCGGGAGGCGGCAGCCCAGGGAGCGTGTGGGGCCCCCTCCACCCCGGTGGAGTGGCAGCGCACTGAAGGCCCCAGGGGAGGTGGGCGCCTCTGCCTGGAGCCCAAACCCCAGACTCCCCGAGAGAGCCACTCGCAGCTGGGGGCGGGGCGGGCGCCCCATGCAAGTTGCAGGTGCCCGCCAGCCGGTAGGGGCGCGGGTCACTCACAGGTGCGGCGGTGGACACTTGCAGCGGGGCGCAGGGGGACACCTGCGGGCAGTGTCATTGGGCAGGGCGAGCCGGAAGCTACTTCCAACACGGTGGGTGGGTGTGGCCGTGGGCCTTAGCCCACCTGACGCAGAATGTCCGCACTTTCCAGAGTGAGGGGTGTCCGGGTGGCGCGGGTGTCACAGACACAGCGCCTGCAGGTCACTCCCGGCCGGGGACCGAGGCAGGCGCATTTCGGCGGGCCTTGGCGGTGGTGGCACTGAGGCTTGACCCCCGGCCCCCCTCCTAGGGCAGCGATGCTGTGGCCAGACCAGGGCCTGCTGCACATCCTGCGGCGCTGCGGATGCCACTGCCGAAGTTGTCCTGCTGGAGCAGGCCCGTGGGTGGCGGGCAGGGCGGCCGGCACCGACAGCAGCACAGACGAGGCTAAAGCAAACAGCACTCTCCAGACGACACCGGTTTTGAGTGAAGTCTCACCAGAAGCTGTCCATGAGATACTTCGACGGAAGCTTCTTAACCGCACTGACGC